CACAATTGGGTGTGTAAACTTTTGAAAGGAAGGATTAGTGTTGAAATGGGGGAGGAGGAAAAAAGAAAGGGTAGAAAAGAGCAAGAGGGAGGAGATGAAACACAATGAGAGTTGGAGTCAAATAGGGTTCATTTGCAAAAGGGGAGGGCAGGCATGTCAGTGGTGTGTGTGAAGCACTTCCTCTTCTCTTGTCTGTTTCGTTCAGGTGTAAATGAGCTTGGTTCGGCTTGTTGCCATTAGGCTGGCCGGGCCACTGTGGTGGAGAGAAGAAGATGGGCTTTCTAAGAATAGAAGGAGGAGGACGGCAAGATCCAGCAACCCCATTGTTTTTGTACTTAGAGACGTTAGCAAGTCAGAGATATATATAAAAAAAAGATAAAAACCATGTCTCAGTAGGGTAGGCTTTCAAGTGTCTCTGGGACTGAGGGCCAAAGGACTAAAGTGTTCAGTGAAATGCAGGAAGGATGAGAAAACTGCATTAATGCAGGGTATTAAGGGACAATACAGACAGAAAAGTATAAGGATACTCATCTCTTCTTGCTTTCCAGGGAGTAAGAGATCGAGAATAAAAGAGTCTAAGCAGGAGGGAGAAGGAGGGAAAAAAGAACGTGAATAGACAAGACAAGTGAAAGACCAAAAACCCAGAAAGGGAACAAAGAGTGAATCCTCTTTGAGTTGCTATAAGAGGATGCACAAAAAGGAAGATCTGGGAATAGTGGAGCACTGCTATCGCCAAGCATACATATTGATGCTTCCATTCTTCTTTAGATAGAACAACATGTCCTATAACTGATGTCATACACCCATCTCTCACATGCATTCTGTCAGAACAAAAGTTCTGCGACCACTCGTGGCTTCCAACTTCAAGTGATATCATAGACATTGTACTAGGCAGACTTGAATGTAGGAGTAAAGAGAATATCAACATCTTTAATGGCTACAATGAAGCAAAAGAACAAAAACAAGTGATTGATGCGAGTTCAGGCTCATAAGTTAGCACCATTAGTCGTTTCCATTAGTAAACTGTTTAGCCATCTTCGAGCTTCATTAGTCTGGCAAAAAAACAGAGCGCATACTATTCGTGCACTTCTTTGTCTTCAACTGTCTTATTAGAATCGCTATCTGACAGAGGAATAATCCAAAAAAATTTATGGAACTTAAAATACCACCATTGCTTTTTTTCTGGTAATAATGGGAATGGTGTGTCACTTTTTTTGCGCTTTGTACCAACATGCAGTCTGATGTGATCCCAGGTGACATTCATAAATTTGTCAGGTCAAACCGATCGGCCAACCAATCTTGATTCATTTTCCACATCAGATTTTTCTTTGCATTGTGTTTGTATTGTTACCTTAATATCTGGCACCAGTCTACAGTACATGTGTAAAAAAAACAACAATAAATGGCAGAGTTATGAATGCATAATAATACAAATTGGGCCAAGTGGCTATGTTGTCACGTATTGTGAACTCATGGCTCAATGTTGTGAGTGTTTGATAATAAATAAATAAGATTTAAGGGTGATTTAAACATTTTAAAATTTCAGGACCTGTGAACCAGATCACATACAAAACAATGAACTCGGTAGCATAAGCTTGAACCAAGTGTGAACCTATCGTGACGTCACCCATTGGTTTGTGGTTTTGTGGCTCGAAGCCTCTAGATTGACTGCACTATGACAGTTTGTTGGAGCCAACAGAGGTCACGTACTGCGAGTTGAGGGGCTCTCATTAGTCCGTCCGTAGCAGGAAACAGTGGCGACTCGACTGGTTACACATAATCTCGTACTGCAGCAACAACGCAGTAAAATAATTTTGATTCATATTTGATCAGCACTGTGTAGTTTAACTCTTTGAGCTTGGTGCGTTGAGCAGGATGGACTCACCGAGAATGACTTGTCAAACAGAAGGAAGCCACACTAAAGAGGTCACGCCCTGAAGCATGCCCTGCTGTCTATTTTACTCTAAATGCGACCATAATTTTCTGAATGAACATCATGCTATATGGCAGAAGACTTAAAACTAGCGATTGAGACCATAAACTCATCATGAAACTGTTTACTGAGCCTATGAATCAAGTGAGAAGTCAGGTAATTTCTCCGTAAGACTGTATGATATCAGTGTGTTATTGCAGCCAATGGAGCTGCCCCCTGCAGGCCTTTACATAGAGAGCAGGTTAAAGACACTTCACAGACCCAGAAGCTCTGTCCATTAGATATACTGTCAATGGCGAACATATCTATTAAGTTTGGTCAAGGTAAATTAATTGTCTTAACCCTGTTAAGCAGGAGTGTGGGTTGCTACATGAAGTACATGAAAGTTGGCATTAGCAGCCGTGGTCCAGCTGGGTATAATGCAGTAGTACTCCCAGAGACCTGTAAACACAATTTTATATGCAAATATGTTGTCCTTTAAGCAAACAACTCCTGACACATTTAGCACTAAATGGGCAACATGGCATCCCATTGGAGCCTTTCTAACCACCTGCTGTAATAGCAAGTAAACCCAATACTCACTGACATTGTAACATCAGTTTAACTCTTAAGGGACATATGTGGCATTCTTTCTACCGTTTCAGATTTGCTACCTGCCCAGTGCAAAATCAGGGAGAATTGAAGGAAATGGGTTACTGGTGACAGTAACATACAGAAGCTCCCTATGGTTTTACATGAATCAGCACTGGATCCACACAACCAAAACAAAGAGCTAGATGCATCTAAATGCAGCAGAGAACTGATGAGAGGTTATTGATTTTCAGTGTTATCAGCAGTACTAGCCATCCTTAAAGCGATCCTCAATCCTCTTAAAGGCAAAGCCATTTCATTCAGTGTTAATACAAAACATATGGCTTGAGGCAATGCTCATGAAAGGACACTTAACTGCAGATGCTTCAAGAACATATTTTTTACTCTATGTAGACCTTACACGAAAACCAAAACAGCGAGTACATTTCGTAACCCACAGGTGACAATCTTCCAAATGCTAGACATATTTTGTACCGTTCCATGTTTTATGAAGCAGGAAGATAGGCCACTCTACGTCATGTGCATTTCAGCTACTTAACATGTAAAAACACACCTAACCTGACATTTCCCAGTATGCGAGGCCAGACACTGAGCTCAGAGGCACACTGGGACATCCTCCAGAATTCCTCTTCTACTGGCTGCAGTCCACATGGAGGACTGAGGGCTATTACACAAGTTGAGAGGGCAGACTTGAGAGAGATGACTCTACTAGTTGGAACAATGACATTTAACAGAGAAGAGCAGTAGGGCAGAGAGAAACATTGAGAAGGACAAGCTGACACAAACACACACACACCCTTTGATCTTTATGGCAACTTCAGGACAGTGGTGAAACGGATCTTCACATCACACCATATTGGATACTGTTTTCTGATTCTGCTTTCAGTGTGTGAAAGTTTGAGGACTTCAGAGAATGCTAAAAAGCGATAGAGGGAAGCAGACTAGAAATAGTACACAGAGAGCATGTTTAAGCCACTTCCTATTGGTAAACAAAGCAGCAGTCCCTCTCATTGTGGGCTTTTTATAGATCAGTGCAGACAGAAATGTGCACTGCATAACCATCCTCCATACTCTCTGAAGAAAAAAAAGTACTCTTACTCTGCAAGTAAAGCCTTCACAGTCTTGCCTAAAACCTTAAATCCTGTACATTTCTAGAGAGCCAAGGCCAGGTGGAAGTATTAGTAAATTATCCACACTAGTGCTGCTTGAGGATGTAGTTAAAAAAAAAAGTTAAACCTCCCTTATATTTCACATATTACACAGTAAAAATACAATTTCAGCCACAGTAAAAACTGTGTGACTGACTTCTCCAGACGGTTAGGCAGCCGAGTCATTTGACAGCCTTCACTTAACTCCTGATTCAGACTCCTCTCGTTCTGTCCATCTTCGAAACAACTGCACTCTGTCACACAACGGGACACGCACATAACTAGCCATAAGTGATGACTGAACACGCGTCTTTCCTGGGTTTTATCACTGGACTCTCAAGTCGTTACAGCACAAATCTCATCCTGGACCTCTTGTAACAGCCATAAGCAGGTCTAAATATAAGCCTCTCCAGAGTTTCATACATAAACAAAACATCACTGCACTGTGAAAAATTACCTAACACATCCACCCTTCCATGTTTCTGCACTGACACAAATGCAAAAAGCAGTACTAACACAGACACGTCTTATATTTATCTATATTATATATTTGGAAGATGACAGAATAGTCAATGAGTTATTGACAGTCCAAGTTATTATAGAGAACATATTGTAAAAAGCTGCATGAAAGGTTAATAATAATGGAGTATGTGCTCAGTAAAAATTGGGCAGAAAAGCTCACAAGGATATGATTTAAATCAAGAATGTAAGCCAAGAATTCTGCAAAGCACAAGGATGTCTTCGTTTAGGAAGACATCCAAGACTATAAGAGACTGTAAGCTGTACTACTTTGTGTAATATCAGTGGGGAAAAGTCTATAACTTTGAAAGCTACTGTACTGAATGCTGCAAGGTTTTTATTCTTCATCCAGTACTGAATACTGCCAGCAAACTATTTATTTATTTATTTCCTCCAAATACTGAAGGTGCTGATTCAAAACTAGAAAGCTGAAGAGCTTAAATGATTGTGAACAAAACACAGTAGAATAAAGGAAGGATCAGCTTTTGATCAGCTTTATTTTAATTGATATCGACCCCTTAAAATATGTCCGGATCAGCTGCAATAAGGATCCCTAGGAACGACAAATTCACTTTTAACCACTTCCTTCCAAATATGACATGTCAGAAGATCATAATGCTATCACTCTGCCTGCCATTAAACAGCCATATGAACTCAAAAAAGTTTAAGATGTTGAAATGTTAAAGTATCTGCACAAATTACATATGTTCAACAGACTGTCAAATTTGATACAGTCACTGACTTGCTTCTTCAAGTGTTTGTGTGTGTGTGTGTGTATGTGTGCGTGTGTGTGAGTGTCAGCCACTTACGATCTAGTCCATTGACGTAGCGAATAGATACTTCGCAGTGCCCCCACACAGCACTGACGATGGGATACAGTCTCTTGCCTTTTAGCCCTCTAAAAGCTACTCCCAGATACTGTCCGTCTACCATGAAGCTCAGCGTTCCTTCGTCCATGTCGAGTATTACTGTCAGAGAGTCTGGGAGCACAAATGACTCGTCTGGCTCCAGGAAACAGGGGTACGTGGGTGCAGACGTGGAAACCGGACGGTTCTTTCCATCATGGTAGAGTCTGTTCCGACCCAGGTCCCAGCCCCAGGACTCGGAGTCCGAGCCCACCAGGGCTGTGTAGCCCACTGAGTGTAAAGACGCTTCAGCTGTGGCCACACCTACGACGGCGTGGGTGCCTCTCTGTCTGGCCGGCCAGTGAATCCTCCAAACATGGAGGCCCCTGGTGTAGCCCACCTTCCCACGGATACAGTCTGTGCTCTGTGCCACTGGATGTCGATGAAACGTCAGCTTGTCATCCTCCTTGACAAAGACATTGAGTGACCGGTCGTCAGGATTCCAGGCATGGCGAAGCTGAGTCTCAGGGCTGGCCGACGGCATGTCGAGCAGTAAGTCCAACCTGGGGGGCCGACAGAAATCCGGGCCCCGCAGTTCGCGGCGTACAGGCCGATATGAGGGCTCCCCGCGTACGTCCACTGATTTGATACTGCCAGAGATCTTCTGGCCCATGGCTGGGTGGGTCCACGGGAGGAAAGGACAGAGGGGAGGGAAATGGATGGACCGAGGGTGGTAATGAGGGGGCCGTAGCTCCTGACGTTACCTCATGGGCGCAATGGCAACACAGTGGGTTGTAGGTGGAAGGATGCTGTTGGACACACACAAAGTCTTCAGCCAGGGAGAACCACGCTCCTGAAACACACAGAAAATGAAAACATTATGAGTGTCATATACACTCTACAAATAAGACATCTGAAGATGTCACCTTGAACTCTGGGAAACAATACTGTTTTCTGATTATGGAATAAATTATTAATCAACTGAGAAAACACTTTCCATTAATCATTAATTGATAACGAAAATAGTTGTTAGCTGCAGCCCTACTTGGTTTATAAAACTTGATAAACAAAAGACTTGTTTCTTATGCATGTACATAAAACACAGGCTCGCAGAAATAGAGGCAGAAATATGGCATCAACATGGCTGGCTCCCAGCCAGAGCTGCAGAGATAATGCGAAATGACAGGAAAGGAGAAATGAAGGATGAACTTCTTTTCACTTCTAGCATTCCCAGAGAAGACTATTTCCTGTCTTCAGTTGCCTGGAGTGTGGACAAACACAAATTTTAGTTTCTCTGTGAACAAATGTATCCCTTTTCTTTGTCACTCGATTCTGTGATAGTTGCATTAAACAAAGACGTTGCAGCCGTCTAGACATGTGAGCTGACTCTCTACTGCACATTGACACTGAACACTGACAGCCAAAAAGCTGAAGAGGAGACCTACCAACACAAAACAGTTATTACTTAAATGTGGTCTTTTAGACCACCCCAGCATCCCTGTGTTCTGTTGCAGACAGATACCAACTATCCTCTCTCTAAGAAACACACATTCAATCATTTAAACACTAAGGCAATGCCTATTGAGCAAAAGCATTTAGGGCTTAGTGCATTTTAGGCGAAACAAATTCTATGAGCAACTCACCAATAATGAAAAACTAACAGAAACAGGGAGGATTTGCTGAAACTTGCTGCTACTTCCACTGAAAACAGTCAGTATGCACACACCCTTCTTAGCCAATCTCTTCTTCACAAAGCTCACATGATGCAAATTTGTATTTTAAGTCTTTATAAGAAACTTTAACATGTGCATGCTGAGCAAGCAGAAAGAAAGCCCTAAGCTACTTCCAAACACACATGCAGAGTTTCCCTGTGTCCAAGTCCAGATAAGCTGTACTGACCATTACCCCTTGTGGTCTCTCCAGTCCTCTTTCCTATATTCATTCCCTCAAATGTTTTTCTCACTCCCCTATAGTTTCTCAGGAAAGGACTCCACAGGATTCTTCCAGGGAAAATACAGAACAGTAACTGGTACTGACCCACCAGGGGAGGCTTGAATCAGATCAACATACACAGCGCCCGTAGGATAGATTCAAACAGATGAAGAAATTAAAGGATCCAAACAAGATCAGTGTACATTCTACACTTTGAAATCCAACTTGTTAGAGCAAACTTTTTCACACATTAATGATTTTGAGTTTACAGTGTCCGTTTGAATGTCAAAGTAAATACCTCGTGAATTGTGGAGGCAACAGGAAACGTGACATTAAAAAAACAACAATTAACTGTTGACAACATGCTAAATGGGCAACAGCTTTGACCACACACACACACACGAGGAATATTAACTCATGACTACAACCCATGAAAAGCGACAAGCTCTGCCTTTCCATATTAATTAATTAATACCACCAGATATGACGCAGGAAGTCATTTTGTGACAAACGAGAGGAATATGTCCCACAGCACCATGTAGACACAGACTTACAGTAATCACAATGGCTATCTACCACTCAGTTCCCATTTGTGAATGAGTAACTTACATAACAAGTACAAGCCCTTACTGCTGCGAATTCATCAAGCATTAACCGTCAGTGGGGAAACACTGGGCCAAACTATTACAAGAGAAGCCCGAGAGAAATGATTCATGGGAATGTTTTAAGGTAAAAGAGCAAAATTGTTGTGTTGTATGTCTTAGACAGCCTTTCTGGTTAACAGTGACCAGTTAATCTCATATAATCTAATACGTACAGTGACATACACATATCAGCAGCCAAACCGGGATCGATCTCTCACACTCACACACACACACACACACACACACACACACACACACCTCTAAATCTGGTGTCAGTCTGTCGTTATGTATCCAAAGCACTTCAAGCCAAGGTCTATTATTACATTATTAAGTGTGAGTGTTTAAGTATGTGTATTATGCTTGTCATAGTGGTGATGGTGGGTAACACTGGTAATATACAGTAGTTACACAGAGGAAATCAGATGTCCTCACTTGTCTGCCTGTGTATTCTGCAGGGTTAAAATATCACAGCAGTACATCAATAGAAATCATTGGGTTTAACCAAGGAAAAAAATTTCATTGTCACCTTGTCTGCACTGCAGCCTATAAAACAGTACCCAGTTCATAATAACATCTATAGATTCCAGCCAGAAGGTGTTTTGGAGAGGAAGACAGAGGAAGAGAAATGGTCCTGTCAGACTCTATAAAAACTGGGAGTATTTGATGCCATCCACATAGAGCGGCTGACATCAAAAAGGAACTTCCAGCAGGTGAATATCAAATTTTAAATCAACTTCACCCTGGTGCTTGACCAGCAGTACTGCCTGCACCCTCCTGTGCAAAGAGCTGTTCCTCACACACACAGCTGATGGTAACTGACTGAGCCATTCATCTAGAACACAGAGAGACCAGAAAACAAAAACAGAAACATGGCAGGCTGAAAAAGGGAGGCATTTTCCACCTTTTTATTGTGACATGCTGGTTAATAATTGCCAAATGAACTATCGTTAGGTAAGCCAAGATCATTCCAACACTTTGATCCACATCCTGCTCACCTATTGTGTATGTAGCATCTTTCCATATTCAGTTCATGGCCTGTATCATGTTAAACCTCTTAACAAAGTGTTCATTTCATATTGAAGTAGAGGTCCACTGCTCATGGAGAAGAAGACATTTCCTGCAATAAATGGCCGTGGAAACCCCTACAGTCATTTGATTATTTCCTAAAAAACTCATTTGGCAAGAATTACTGCTCTCATGACACCAGTTATGGTCTCTCTAAAACATTACCCACAAAACAAACAGCAGTTGCAAGTGGGAGAGTTAAAACAACCGACTGCGTGTTGATGAGCACTGAGAAGAAGTGGAGGGACATTTTGGGGATAAGGAGCTATGGTCATTAAAGTGGTTAAAGAACAATACAGCACTGGATTCACACAAACAATTAGCAGAGCTTTAATACACATAGTTACACAACAATATGAGCATCTAGAAACCTGTCAACCAACTCTTGCTATTGTCTCTATAATCACATGTAGTACTAACAATATAAACCGATCAGCAAAAGTGCTCCAAGGAAAGTAAACCGGTGAACCGGAGACAGGATCACGGCTGGCCCGTGTGGTCCGATCCAACAGACGAGCTACTGTAGCTCAAACTGCTCAGTTAATGCTGGTTCTGATGGAAAGGTGTCAGAACACAGTTTGTTGCATATAGGACTGCAGAACATGATGACCACCAGGGTGCCCAGTTGGTCATCATATTACGGCTGATCTGTGTATATATACTATATAATTAAAAAGGGAAATATTAGTGAAAGGACAGAATAAAAATTGTGCAGGTCAGTTGATAAGGAAGGAGACGATGGGGAAGGAGAAGTAAAGGAGGAACATGGACGAGGGGAGAGATGAGAGAACTGATGACAGACGAGAAACACTGATAAGGCAGGTGAGTGATGAGTGATTGTGGGAACCGTCACAGGAATTACTGCCTCAAGGTTACATGCCTTCAACCACTCTCTCTGCTTACAGCCATGTCTGTCCAGAGTCATGTAGTTAGGGCAATCGTGGTGAGGGAATTTTCCTTGTGGGGATTTATGGTGGCTCAACAGCACAGTATGACCACCATTTTTGTTGTTTTTGCTAATTACTAATTTACTTAAAATCTTGCAAGATAGTCAACATATTCAGCTGAAAGTTACCAGTTAACAGGGTCACTCGTTAACCCAAAACACTGGTGAGTAGTGGGACACAAACGCCACAGTTGTGGTGAATTGCTATAATTAGTGGACGAGTCTGTGTCCTCTACCTTAAGTACTGCTGGTGTTTCCATTCTTGAGCTATTTTCCAGAGCGAGTGAGGCGGAGGCTGTGTGCCTTTTTCTTGTGTGGTATTGTAATCCTGGGATATTGAGTAGCACAGCGCTTCTGCTGAGTCGAGTCTGTTCAGCTTAGCTGCTCTTTGACACTTTGCTGTCTTAAAAAACAAATGTAGAACATGACATAATATGACGTCAGTTGTGGCAGGTGGCTTCTCAATAGCACTGTATTGTATAAGTGCGTTTATTGCAGTAGCCCTATATGCAGTGACGACTTTGAAGCAATTTAATAAAAAAAGATATAAAAAGTGTCTATTTTGGCAAGATGGAAGTTATAACAGTGAATATAGACACTGGACTGACAGTCACATGGTCCAACAACATCTGAACCCGAATATCAGCAAAAACCACTGAGCTTGTGGTGTTTAAGTTCATTGAGAGAAATAATTAACACAGTTGATTTCCTTGTGTGTGTTTGCATGCTTTGCCAATAAAGCTGATTTTGATAGGCCACAAAATTGTAGCCATGACAGTCAACAATGCTTCAAATATGAATGCTGCTGCAAAGAAGCTTCAAATTCTAAAACGTGAATGCTTCATAGACATCTTCAACCCAGCAGCACAGAACATCGATACAATCACCAGTTTCAAGGTGGGCATCCAAGATTAGTGTTACCAGTTCAGTATCCACCGGTCACAATCTCCTCTCCTGTTCCTGAATTATGGCACTGAATAATGGCCACAAAACTGTTTTTGCAAAACATTAGGTAGAACAAACACAGTGGAAAATCTGAAGAAATTCCCTTGAGGCATTCTTGCGATATATTGCATTCATAAGAATGGGACAGATGGACGACCTTAAAACATGATGCCTGCAGCCACTGCTGGTGCCGGGCACAGGCATGGGCAAGGTGCAAGAAAGGAGACATGTGACATCTAACCCGACACCTCGTCAGATTAAGGGAGCCGGATTTGGTGGAAAGGATTATCCAGTACCAAATACACTGGGTACAAACCAAGAACTATCGCTGCTTCATCTCCTCCGCTTTCTTTAAAAAAAAAAAAAAAAAAAAAAAAAAAAAGCAGCTCCAAATATCAGCCCAGTGATTTGCTTCTGCTCTGGGCGTAGGAGAGATGGGATGCAAGGCAGAGCTGGGACTGTTTAAGATGCAACTTGACCAGAATCCACCGTGTACACTTGTTATCTTGAGCAAGGGAGGCAGTCACATGAAGAAGGCCGCTGGTAGCGTGACAACCATTGTTAGCATATTAAACATGCACAGCCAGCTTTAACACAAGCAACCCCCACCCAAACACACACAGCTTTAGGGCACACAAATGCAGACTGGTAATGCAGGGACTTTGAAGTTATCACCCACTCAAGACACACGCACACTCACAGCTCACCAGCTTTGGGAAATGACAACGTGGATGAGCATGGATGTATACGTATACAACCTCTCACTCATTCAATGGCAAACTAGTAGGGTCGATTAGTATTCGTCATTACAGGAAGGAAGGAATAGGAAGACAGTTTGCAGATATGCAAACACTGGCAGTATGTAATTAGTGGACAGAGATTTGTTTGTGTTCAACAGGTTACGAGGATAATCAAAACAAAAGAAAACTGTCCGAGGAGGACAGCTGAAGCAGCACAGAGTGCAATCCAAAGCATTAATAGTGGTTGAATTCTGACAAGATGCCACATGTTGCCTCTTTTCTTCTACAAGCAAAAAACAAAACAAAAACATAAACCCACAACACCGGCGCAAAGCAAATCTAAACAAAAACTACAGTGACAGTTGCAACGTTTTAACATGTCTTGCTAGTTCGTATTCTGAGCATATAAACCAGACTGAAAAAGAAAACATTTAAGATTCAATTCAGTTATGTGAAAATGTTTTTCTGCAATGTTGGGTCTTTGAGTTCTCTTTTTCTGGACTACGAATACAGACTACTAATTTGTTTTTTCATCTTGTACTGGCACAGGATGTACGTGCATGCCAGTGGTCAGCTGGCTGTTATCTGAGGCTTTAAAGTGGGTTTAGGTGAAGCTTTTAACAGAGAGGAAAAAGGCAACGTGAGGAGATACACAGCATTTATCGGCCTTTGACTTTAACATTTTGGGCTGTCCCAGATCTTTGGTCGTCAGTTCAAAACTGTGATCCAATTGTGAGACAAGTGCACGCATGGCTGATTTACAGCTTTGGCAAAACAAAGACTGCCTGCATCAAAACTCTGAGAATGTCAGAGGCCAAAGCTTTTATTGTTTGGCTACATTTTCAAAGCATGAGATCGGTGCAGATGGATGACGCGAGCTGATAGCATGTCTCTGCTTGCATCATCACTGTGGTGCAGTTCATCACCAATTCATTGCACCATCTGACATGCATCAAAATGTACATTGTCTCAGATTGCCACCAAGACTTTGCCGGACTCAGAAATTAAATGCAATTGGAAGAAATGGAAAATTATAGACTATATGCGCCCTGCCACAGCTGGACATTTTACTTCAAGTTTACTGGAGAATGAGAAATGTCAATTTCCCCTGACCGACACTATTCTCAGTACTAAGATATTTTCACCCTTAAGATTGACCAGAATTCTGATGCAATCTGGTTTCCCTGACATTTAACATAAATGTCAGTAAGCCATCTCATTGCTATGCTACATTTTTTAAATCTGATTTTTTTTCCAGTCTCCCAGTATCAGTAAGGCACAAAACCATGTAAAACGAGCAGGTTTAAACAGCTCAAACTACAAACCCATTATAGTGCTTATTACAGTATTTTCCCAACCACCATATCACACTTATGCTGCGCTCACATGAATTCAGGCAGACAGCACCTTCCTCACAACACGGGAAAAAAACAGTCCGACAGAACGGCAAACCGAAACACGCATAATGATATGTTGCTATGGTAGGATATTGTTTACAAAGAATGGAATCAAATAGATTCAAATTATTTTCTGATTATGTTGTATCAATTATTAGCGTCTCATTGTCCAGACTGTCCATGTTCTCTCCTTGTGTGAGGGAGCTACGTATAAAGTATTAAATATCGCAGAATACAATATTGTAATTTTGGACTGCAATGCCATGAGCATTAGCGGTATTCTCTGCCAGCCTCACCCAAGTTTACCATCCTGCTTTCACCTGCTAACATGACATTCAGGTTTGCCGTCAACCGTTTGCCTGATTCCATGTGAATGCAGGATTACACATACTGAGCTCAGACTACCAGGTTATGCCAAGTGTAATTATGAGTCAGGGCTGAACTGGCCTAGTGAAGCAGCACTGCAACATAATCTAGAAAGTCTTCCATCATGTGTCACTCTCCCACCTCTCAGTCACTCACGTGTGTGAAACACTACACTGAAGGTCCCGTGCTAGTGGCTATAGCCATGCTGAGGAAGACAAGGTGGCAAAGTGGGGCAGCTAATAAACACGGTTGTTTTTCAAATTTAGACCAAAGAAGACAAATTGCATTACATTAACGTGGACTTAAAGCTGAATAAGGAAAGCCACTTTTTGAACTACTAATAGTCATGACATTATAGGGACACCAAAATTTAACATATAACAAATTTAATAACTATCACAACAGCTCAATCAAAAACTTGAACTTTCTAAAGCACACACTTACTCATTCATTACAGCTTTGATGGTTTATTTCATTCATTACAAGACCTTTCTGGGACATGCAGACAAAAAAAAGAAAAAGAACTTTTGGAAACTTGAACACTGGATAAATCCAGCAACAGTCTTGCCAATAGAGAGACTGGAAACCCGAGAAAATGTCACACACTGAAAGCTGCACAAACAAGAGGTCAAAAGACTGAAGTTGCCTTTGAGAATGGAAGAGACATCTTACCATGAAAGCATTTCTCCGTACAGTCAGGCGGCTCTCACACAGCAATGTGAACACGCAATCACGGCAGCCAAGTAGAAGAGTGGGAATACTTGCTCCTCAGTCTGTAGTCCAAAATGAGGTCAGTACACAGTCAACAGCCAGACGAGTGTGGGACAGAGGCAGACAAAAAGAGTGTGTGTTTGTGTAATGTCAGTAAGTCGCCCAGTTCCTGCTTGTGACGCGAAGATGGGGGGAAAAACAGCTTGGCTCCAGTTTCCAGCAAAGACAGGAAAACAGCTGCTGGAGGGAGGAGGGAAGAGAGGGGAAGATAGAGAGGGAGGGAGAAGGGGAGGGCCTAGAGTGGAGCACGCTCAAAGTCTTTCCCAAGCAGTACAAAACCACACACACACACACACACACACACACACCTTTGCTGAACTGGACACAGCACACCGGGCCAGTCAGCGACAAGTGTGTGCAACCCTGAAACTACAGACTTTGGCCTAGAAATGTGTATATGGCGTAGTACACACTCACACAGTGGCTACCTCTACTGATCTTAGTTCTGGATGATGGGGGTTTAAGATATATCAGAGCAAAATCTTTCACAACACAGAATATGAACTTCAATATCAACTTAGACGTGTGAATTTCCCAAGTCTATCTTGTCTTAAGCTGTGAAGTTATCTGGTTGAGTCACAGATGTCTTTCACTCCAATCATTCAGATGCAACCTGAAGTTTCTGAATTTCATCTCAGGTGTTGTTTTGCAGCCCACGGACCTCTCCCCAACAGACTGTATAGATGTTTACTGTATCAACAAGCAGTCTCTGTATGACAGCTCAGACAGAAAATTCCACTCATTTTCCTCTCTGCGCCGACCTTCTCTGCTCCTTAGTTATTGTTTGAGTGATAGAACTTGGAAAGATTTTTTTTTTTTTAGTTCAATTCAAGGGACATTTATTTTGTTTGTTTTAGTTGGCTATTAGTTCTTTTAAACAACAACAAACACATTTGAAACAAGACTAAAACACTACAGCCAAGCTGGCGACACCACAATGATCATAAAAGACTAATTTGAGTAGTAATAATAGTCGGTAAAGCTGGCGACCCGGGTTCGAATCCGACCTGCGGCCCTTTGCTGCGTGTCATCCCCTCTCTCTCCTCCCACCTTTCCTGTCTCTCTACAGCTGTCTATGAATAAAGCCAACAAAAAGGACGAAAAAATAACTTGAAAAAAAAAAAAAGACTAATTTGTGGGCTAGATTAAATGTTTAGACAAATGCTGCCATTTTTGGATCCTCTTTGGCCATTTTGGCCAAGGCAGTGTCTCACAGAAATGAAGCTGGCTGGGGTTTTGTACATAGTGCCAATGTCCTTCTAAAATGTCCTTCTAAAATAAAGTGGTCTGAGGGTGGAACCAGAGGACAGGCCATGTTACCTAACATCAAACAGATTTATCCGCTGGTTCTAGTTTTGAACTGTGTTTTGTGCCTTTAAAATATGTTTCAGTTAGATGTCAAGCCAATAAGTTAGGCCTTTTGATATGATAAGCTCAGTTACCCCACCCAAGTCTCTCTTCCTCTCTCTTCAGCTCTGACACCATCCCCCACCCTCTATCTACGTATGTATCCATGCTTCTCTCACTCTCATCTTTCTCCCCCTGGGAGACCAGAAAGCCTTCCTCTCACTTATTACACACCCCCCCTTCAGCAAACTCACTACAGCATTCCTAAATGCATGCTTGCACTGTTCAGTCCGAAAGGTTCATACCAAATTCCACATAGATTTACATGATATGACTTGGCTCGAATTAACTCAAGCAAGAGTACCACATTGTTCTCACTCTAAATAAAATGCACACTCACCACATTCATGACAGGTTCAACAACACCCACCCACACCGAGGCTGCTGCTGCTGCCTGCCACAGGGCTACCTTGTTTTGAATTGGTCTGGTGAATTGATAGGAGAGCAGCAAGAAGCTGAATGACCATAAGTAGGGATTAGAAATGGTGGGCCAGAAATACACCCAAAGTGTGATGTAGGGGCACGAATCACTGTGAGAAGAGGGGAAAACAGCTTTTTAGTTGTCTCACTGACTGCAACACCAATAACTAAGAGGGCAGTAAATTACATGGACAGACAAGTTGTGGAATAATTAGCGAGAAAACCGCAACAGGGTGATGAAGATAGATTGAAACAAAACAGCATAAAACATACAAGCTGCATTATTATTAAAAACATTCTTCTTTCACCCCCCGTAAAGTAGATGGACGACTTTACAATGTACAGATCGAACAGTCTAGCCCGCCATGGTAGTGGGCTCGTCAATAATAGACCCATTTGTCCAAATGACTTCCTGCTCCTTAGACAAAAACACACCCAATAGCAAAAGATGAGAAGCAGTTTGCCGTCTCCATGTCTCCGTTTACCCAGGAGAAGAATCTGTTGGCAACCAGGTGTTGGAAGTAGGAGCCAAAGCTAACCCTCTCTAAAAACCTGCTTCTTTCTTGTATCCAGACAGACAGACAGACAGACACACACAAACAAAAAGGTAAACCTGCCTCCATGGTAATGTCTCCCAAGTGTTGGAGAAAAGACTAATCTTTTCATAGTGAAGTGTGATCAGTAAGTCATAAAGTAAGCAGTTATTTTACCGTGGAAGCCCAAATCAGCCAGTAAATGGAAGAAGAAAACATAACAGGACAAATTACAAAGCTACAGCTTGGTCATATTCACATCCATACATGGTGAATATTTTTCATTTAATACCCCAAAATTGGGGTGGCTTTGTTACCACACTTGAAGGCCTCCCTGTTTGCAGTGTACATTTAATCCCAGGAAACAGGGTTCCTGGGAATACCCATTCAAACCATTTCCCGTTTCCTAAGAAATATATTAACGGGAAAAGCCTTTTTTTTTTTTCCCAAAAAGACATTGAACAGATAAGGCATTAAAATAGCCTCTGCCATGCTTTCATTACCTTGCATATACACACATCCTCCCTGACCACACCAACAGTCATACACTGATGTGATTAGAAAGGTTTAACACATATTCCAAGTTGAGCTGCATTAAGCCAGAGAAAATCCCAGTCATTGTTTGACAGTGCACATCCCAGTAACCTGGAGTTAGTCTGATGCCATTCTTGTTATCATGATAGCTGAGGGATACATTGTATGTGCTCCAGTCTATTAATGTGGATAATGAGACTGACAGGGTCACAGAGTTCCCCTTGACTGACTGTATCCTGATAGGGAAATTCCAGTTATATGGCTGCCATATTCGCATAGAGTAAGCACGCAGAGACAAGACTTGCTGCTGCATGGTAGTGTTGGCTGGAGCTGTCTGGAGACTTGTGCAGTAAACAAATCAAATCACCACAAAAAACAGAAATACCTGTTTGGTGTATCACACTCACTCAGTGACTCACTCTACTGACTTCTATGAGAACACCAGCATCAGAAATACTGGCAGCTACGGGCAGGCGATACAGGCGTGGTTTAACAGTGTGTGTGACGGCGCGTGGGAGAAGTTACTGTTTGCTCTAAAACAAAAATGCCGTGGATGCTACTAGCATCAGTTATATCAGAACTGGAGGGTATTTCCTCACTGAAAGAAGAGCAAAGAATGGCACTGAAAGCTTTTCTCAATGGAGAAGATGTTTTCGCTCCTTCAACTGGCTTTGGTACGAGTTTGACTAAACTATATGGTGTGTTGATCTGATTAGTTGAAGTCTGCCTGTGATAGAGAGATGGTTCATCCAATCACCTGCCACGTATTTATTTATTTATTTATTTATTTATTTATTTATTTATTTATTAGGGGCTGTTAGCCACTAAGAAGAGAATTAGCGACCAACTTTTCATTAGTTGGATACTCGCAGAAAAACTAAAACAGCTCATCTGGCTCCAAAGTACGCTTTATGGCTGTGTGGTTGTACTGCATGGTTCAGAAATGGCCATATTAACCTTAGCCACATGGATTTGTTGTTGTTGCTTTGGGGTTCTTTGCATTATTTATGTTGTGGTCTTGATTTATTTGCCTATAACACAAAGCGCCTCTATCATCATGTCTGGACCTACGTGAACAACATCAGTTTTTTTTTACATTTATCTGATGTTTACTGTAACCTCAGATGCTCTACCTATATTTAGTTTTAGTAAACACTGTAAACTGTAAACACTGTTGTGTATCTTTAATTCTCACACAAAAATAAAGACATGGGTCAGCTGCAGCAGGGTCATGTTGTATTGCAAGCACCTAAAGTGTTAGTTAGGTTAGTGACATAGGCCTCTGCAGGATGAAACCTTAGCCAAAACCCTCTAAGCCTGTAGCACATATCAGCTGCTTTTGGGTTAGGACCTGTTGAATTATTCAGCAGCTGCCTTGGATCAGTTTCTCTGTGCCTTCAGGTAAGCCCAAACCGGTCTGATCAGGTTACCACAGCTGGGTTACAGAATGTGGGGTAGATCATTGAATCAGTCCATCCCCCTTTGTGATGAATACTTGAATACATTTTCAAACAAAAGGCATATCACACACTTGCTGGGGTCACTGTGTATGCATGCAATCTTTGCTGAATGTACAGAAAGTCATCCTTCTAATCACCACCACCAACATCATCTAACAATGCATGGCTTTGACCAGCTCTGGGGTTGGAATATAGACGGAAAAGCAGCTAAAAGTACAACAAGGCAGTGCTGCAGTATGTAATAAAGGTGGATGAGCAGAGTTGGTTGTGGGATTGGAAGCTAACCTCTTAATCCATCTGAGTGCCGGCGTCTTGAGAAAAGCACATGTCTGCCAAGTCAACGGGGCACAGGTCGCACTATCGAGCTCTCGTTGTATCCTGTTGAGAAAAGATGCAAAGGTTTGATTATGGTGACGCTATGACACGTGAGACAGTGTTAGCCCGTTGATGGGAGGTTCCATTACATTTAAACCTATATATACACGTTTGCCTTGTGGATGACAGACATACTAGTCTACAGCAGCCATGAAAGAGAGGTGCTCCTAATATTATAAACAATATGTGGAGGAGCATCTTCATGAACTCAAGCACTGAATACACAACGGCACAATTAGAGGCAATGGTCTGACAATATGCTTTGATATAACACACACACACACACACACACACACACACACTAAGTGTCACTACAGCACTGGTGTATGTTCTCATGAGAATACCAGTGTTTGCTTGGATCTGGTTCAGATTCAGGCCAAGATGAAGCAATGCAAAATAATCAGACAGTGAAAAGGAGAGATAGTAAAGGAACGAATAAAAAGAAGAAAAGAAAGAAGAGGAGGGAGATATCTGCTCTTTAGAATATTCATGAGACAATCTTAAATGTTAAATTTTAAGACCACTCCTCAGGGGTGGTGTCCCCTGTCTGTCACTGGCTGCTTAAGTTGATGGTAAGACCAAGGAAATACTGATGCAACAATTCTGTGGGGTGCACAAACACATACACAAATTTAAGAGGTGGATAAAGGTGAGTTAGTACTCCCTCATGTTATGAATATGGGCTTCAACAAAGTTAATGTGAATCAATGCAGCCCAGAGAGCCATGGGACACACAGGGAAGAGCACTGCTGCAGTTTTAGTGCCAACATTACTCCCTGTGGTCAAGCACTACTTAACTCCTCTAAAACTCCCATCTGTGAAGTAAAGCACTCAAAACACTGGCTGCGTTTCCTTAGGTGTAGCTTCAGTGAAGTAGTAATTCTGTCTGGTGAGTCTTCAAGTGTTGTCTGTCAAAACATAGAGATCAGTGAGTTTATATGTACTTAAGAAATCAAATCATTCTTTGCCTTCGGCACAAACCCGTTTTCTAAAAACATATAAAATGAGAAGAAATTGTTTCTTTTAGCAGGTTTTGTGAAAAGAAACCCAGTTACCATAGATAGATTTCTCCCATTAACCTGGTTTCCTGTGAGCATGTAAATGTAGTGAATGAGACATCGTCACTGATTAATATGAACTGCCAGTCTCTATATACTCCCATCACTCCTTTTTACACACAAACACACAACTCTTGGTAATTAAGCATTCAAATGAGCAATGGGGGGGCATGTTTGGCAACGAAAGGAGTGCTGGATTAGTGCAGCGTGGCTTTGGGTAGCACCAAAGTTGTGAAATTAATCTGGCATCTTTGGGGCCTTGTGGAATGATTAAATGAAGTGCAGATCATCAAGCACCAGCACCCCTCTTAAGACATCCAGGTCCCCTAAGGTATCGAGTTCATTTGGAAACTTTACCTAGTGAAAAAGGCATTACAGTGTGTCAATGAATCTACTAATGAAAACTTCATGAACAGTAGATGAATGAGCAAAAAAAACACCCACCACACCATCACGTTTTAGACATTTGTCCACAATTTAGACTGCACCCATAAAAATTGTACCATGGCAACAAACTGTACTTCAAACAGGGTATTTTAGAGCCAAGTTGCAGGTGTAATAGCTTCAGATCCACTGATTCAGAATTGCTGTAGCAGGGTGCATCGCATCCAAATGATCAGCCCTGGAGAAAAAAAAACAAGCAAACACATCCAACTAACTGATCCGGGCCCTGGTAGTGTGTGGTCTGATGAGACAGCAGGATAGCTTACATGGCTTACACAGTAGCCTTCTCTCCAATGCCCCTCACTCGTCGCCACCTGTTCCCTCCCACTCTGCCTACATACAGCTCCAGTAACAGTCAGTGAGCTGCTGTAGTGAGCTACTGTGGAAACAAAAGTCAAGGTGATCTGAATGCTGTAGAAACAGTCACCAGATAACCTCTGATGAAGCGGTCCTCATTATACTGGCGGAGTATTAACACCAAATAATAAAATGAGAGCAGTGTTTATCAAAGGGGAGACACAACTAATTCATATTGAAGCCTTTATTAAGCCAAGGTAGTTTAACTTTTGGTGATTCTCTTTTTCACAGTGCCAGTGTTCAAGGCCCATAACCCCTTCTGCTCCTGTGGGAAGGTTTAAAAAGGTCCAGTGTGCAACATTTCAGAGGCTCTATTGGCAAAAATCTCTTACAGGTTTTTTTTAAGTTAAAATGAGATTGAAGACAAAGTATGACTGAAAAAAAATTCTCTAAGAAATCTACAAAATATATTCTTATATTTTCTTTATCATATAATAGAATCAAATACTGAAGTAGGATATAAACTGTGCACATGCATATTTCATTGAGTGAAGTGACTTTTCACCTTGATACAACGATTTATATCACGATTCAGTTTTCATCTCGCCCATTTGGATCTTCAGATATCTTACGATATATATTTACATTCCCAATAGGTTTTCACTAGTGTGTTATCACCTGAAAAGAGAAATTGGCATGTTTTCTCTTAGGGATCTCCTCTCGTGGTGGCCACCATGTTGAACCGCCATGTTTCTACGGTAGCCCAGAAAAAGACAAACCAAAAACTGTCGGTAGACGGGGCTGTTCACGTTTTTCTCACGCTTCATGGCCACTGTAGTGTCTCCCTTGTGCTTGGCAAGGGAGGGTGAAACGAGTTGTTGTGGAGAACGACTTTTAATGATTTGACATTTTAATGATGGTTAGAGGGAAGAGGGGGGTGAACCATTTATCAGTATGAGGCCCCTGGGAGACTACAGCCCTCAATCGTTTCTGCCTCATCTACATTCTCTCCTTCCAACCCTTTGTGTCTCAATCCAAAGACATTCTCAGTCAACCAATCACTTCTATTGTCTGAGTGAGAGCTGTATATGGGCCCGGGCTGAAATATCGCCTTCAGTGTGACTATTAAAATTGTACAATAAAGATGCATGCAGAGTGCCAATGTGGTGTGAAGATGAAAAACCTTGTTAGGACCCCTTGTAATGCTGAACGTAACTGACTGCTGGAGAAACCATAAATAAATGTCCAAATACTACACCTCAAACTAAAGATTGCTAAAATTATGAACCCAACGGAGTGCATGTCTCTTTCCTGTGCTACTACTGACAACATCTGAATATACAGTGTGTTGGTCACATCTAAAGACTACAACGAAATGCGTGATCAACCCACACCTCATTACAAATTTCTGTCACCTGTCTCCAAAAATAGGTCAAAAAATGCAAGTAAATGCTCGCAGTGTGAAGCCCTTTATTTACCATCACTGCAGTGCGAGGACAAAAACTGCATCATTCCTTGACATATTGTTTTCCACTAAAAACAGCCAATTAGCAGCATATTTTAACTGTGGAAGTGGCCACGCTCAAAACTGACTTAGCACGCTCTGCATGTAGGCCACAGGATGGTTCTGATGACACAGTGCTTAACTGGAAGGCATGTTAGCAGATCAAACGTACCATGTCACTTTAGCAGCTACGTTAGCTCAGTGTGCCATTGTTGTGCTTGTGGCCTCATCTACCCCTGAGAAACTGTGTCATTAGCTACAGTCAAACATGGTGTAAATTAAATTGGATAATTAATGGGTTACTGTGCTCGAGCCCTTGACAGAGTTCTAATTAAAAATGCTTAACAAAATCTGGAAAAGAGGGGGGGGAGACAGTGGTGTGAAAAGTGTCTGTTCAGTTTTTATGTTGCTTTGATCTAACCTCTTCCTTGCCCAATGATCCAGAAACACCCAGCATCATCTTAGTTTGTTTCATCCACAGGAGAAATCAGCAACGGGAAACGGTTGGTTAAGTGTACTTTGGCAATGCAACTTAACTGAACAACCAGGTCATTAATGGTGCAATACATTTGAAAGCCAAAATTTGAAACAAATTTAGATATTTGCTACTTTTGTAGCATCTTTTACTTTGTAACATAACCTTACACTTCATGCAAATATATAGAGAAACAGGAAAGAGGATTCAGATCAGATGGAACCCGCTGCTGTGAACAAAGATCCTGACATCTTGCAGGGGGACCCAGCAGGCAACAAGGCTGTTGAACGTCAGCAGAGCAATAGGATTCCAGTAGAGCACATCTACAAGCACATAGGACAACTCAATTATTCATGTCCCTGTAGTGTGGCTAAACAATGGCTAGGTTCATGGGATGGCTGAAACTACAGGTTGGGCTATGTGTATTAGCTTGTAGCAAGGATGGCAAAATGCTGCCACAAAAATGTTTGGGTTCTGCATTCTGAAGGCTCTCTTTGTGGACCTTTGGTGCGAGGCGACATATACATTGGTACCTGTCCTTTACATGGTAAAAATAAAAGTCTCATCTTATCTTATTATAACTAGATTTACCATTCGCAACACACCTATATCAATAACCGCAGTACCGCAGTCACGGCTTATCAAAAGCATCATTCTGACATTCTGGCTCCGGTTATCTGTTTCAGCACTCTGACAGCAGGCAACCACATATGACTGCATTTCTGAACCAACACACCACTGCGCAGGAGGTCACCTCAGGTGAGATGATTCACAGTAGTACAGTGTACGGGGACTTTGCCCTCACAGTGACCCAGTGGTTTGAGAACACTGTTTTGCATGGCAGGAAAACAAGATGGGGACAAAGAGAGAGAATGGATAGAGAGGGAGGAGGAAGAGGCAGCTGGTAGGAAGAGGCTGAGGTACGAGTTAGGGGGAGGATGTCTGGTCTAAAACAGGAAACTTCCTGCTTCCAGGTCAGATTTAAGCTTTTAAATTTACACACGGTCAAATACAAAAACAAGCTGTTTTATGTTAATTCAGGACATGTACAGAACATGAGAGACAACACAAATGTCAACCAACAACCAGGACTCTCCACTTAAAAATGCAACGGTGCATGTATAAACATAAGGGAAAAAAAATATGTTTATACATGCACTGTTGAAAAAATGACATTTGGACAAAGTGGGAGGGAGATATTGTCTCATGAGCACACACAAAGTGA